CTCGGATTCCCAGGGTTTGGGGATTCCCATGGATTTGGGACCCCCCTCAGATTTTTAGGGACCCCCCCCCGTGGGTTTGGGGGGTTCTCCCAGGGAGTGAGATGGAGTTACTGGTCAGTTACTGGTGTTACTGGTGGTGGTTACTGGTGTTACTGGGCCATACTGGGCTCACCTGGGGGAAGACGGAGGCCTGGGAGGTCTCGGTGGGGGCGGGGACGGGCGTGGCCGGAGACACAACCTCGACCTTGCGCTTCTGGGGAGAGTCCAGTTCATCCCAGTTCATCCCAGTTCATCCCAGTCCATCCAAGCTCACTCCCTCCCAGTCCACCCCAGTTCACCCCAGTTCATCCCAGTCCATCCCAGTCTCTCCCAGTCCATCCCATCCCTGCTGCTGGGGAGTAACTGGGAGCAGTGGGAGGCTCTGTTGTCCCTTCCAGTGCTCCCAGTATCGCCCCTCACAGTCCCCAGTATCCCCCCAGTGCTCCCAGTATCCTCCCAGTGCTCCCAGTATCCCCCCAGTGCTCCCAGTATCGCCCCTCACAGTCCCCAGTATCCCCCCAGTGCTCCCAGTATCCTCCCAGTGCTCCCAGTAGCCGTCGGGAGGGGAGGCTCGGGGGACACCCGGCTGTGGGGACAAGGATGGGGACAGGAACCCACGGGGGCAGGCCTGGGGACCCCCCAGTGACAGGGACACTTTGGGGACACCCTGGGGACATCTTGGGGACAGGGACAAGGACCGTGACCCCTTGGGGACAGGGACACTGGGGTGACAATGATCCACTGGGGACAGGAACCCCCTTGGGACCTGTCCGGGCCCATTTCTGGAGCTGCTTTCGGGGCCACTTTTGGGGCCAGCTGAGGTCATTGGGGCCCACTGGGGACATTTGGGGACATGGGGGGGCCCGGGGGTTACCGTGGGGCGCTGGGGGCCCGGGGGGGGCTCGGCCTCGCTCTCCTTGGCCAGGTGAAAGCGGAGGGTGATGGGCCCCGGCCCTGCTGGCCCCGCTGGCCCCGCCGGTGGCCCCGGTGGCCCTGGCAAACTCTTCCCGCTGGCAGGGGCCACCGGCAGCGCCAGCTCCAGACTCTTCCTCTGCGCCGGGAGGAAGAGGAGGCGTTTAGGGGGAGGGGACACGGGGGGGACATGGGGGGGACACGGTGACAAAGCCACCACGGCCAGGGGTCCCTCCCGTCACCCCCCCCGGGGTCCCTTCCCTGGGGACAGAGGTGGCCCCAAGGGCTCCTAAAGGGGTCGGGGCCTCAAGGGGTCAGGGATGTCCCCACGGTCCCCTTAGAGGGGTCAGGGATGTCCCCAAGGTCCCTTAAAGGGCTTGGAAATGTCCTCGGGGTTCCCTAAAGGGGCTGGGGATGTCCCCAAGGGGTCAGAGATGTCCCAAGGTCCCCAGACAGGCACTGGGGATGTCCCAGGGTCCCCTAAAGGAATTGCAGGTGTCCCCAAGGGGTTGAGAGTGTCCTTAAGGTCCCTTAAAGGGGTCAGAAATGTCCCCAGGGTCCCCCTAAAGGGGCTGGTCTGGGGTGTCCCCTGGGGGGTCCTGAGGATGTCCCTTAGGTCTGGGTGTCACCACCCCCCAAGGGGTGTCCCCAGGGTTGTCCCTGCCATAGGGGATCAGTGTCCTCCCCCTGAGGGGGTTTGGGGACTCCAGGTCTGTCCCCAACGGCTCCAAGTGTCCCCTGTCCCCAGGGTGATGTGTGGCCCCTGTCCCCTGTGTCCCCCCATGGTGTCCCCTCAGTGCTGGCCCTGCTCAGTCCCCAAGGTTGTTCCCCGTCCTTACACTGTCACCTGCACCTGGTGTCCCCAAACTCTGTCCCTGTCCCACCCCCAGGGCCACCCCCTGCCCTCACTCCCCTCCTCAGCCCCACCTGCTCTCCTGTCCCCATCTCGCTGTCCCCAATGCCCTCTGTGCCTCCAGTGTCCCCTGTCCCGTTGATGTCACCTGTCCCTCTGTCCCCCCAGTGTCCTCTCAATGTCACCGGTCTCACTGTCCCTCCAGTGTCCCTCTGATGTCACCCATCCTCCTGGTGTTCCTTGTCACCCGTTTCCCCCTGACCCCCAACATCCCCTTTCACCACCACGTCCCTCAGTGTCCCCAGTGTCCCCACAGTGTCCCCAGTGTCCCCTCACCGGGTCCCTGTCGGGGGAGCCGGGCCGGGAGCCGGGCAGGCCGTTCTTGGTGGGGGTCTTGGCCTCTTTCCGGGGCACCTGGACCCTCTTGAGGTCCAGCCGGTCGTGGGTCACCCACTCGTCCAGGCGCTTGTTAACTGGGGACAGCGGGGACACACGATGGCACCCCCGGGCAGCCCCCCTGGGGACACACAGGGTGACAGTGCCACCCCAGTGTCCACCAGTGCCACCCCAGTGTCCCTCCACAGCCCCCCTGGGGACACACAGGGTGACAGTGCCACCTCCGTGTCCACCACGCCCCCCCCAATGATCCCCTGTGTCCTCGTGGGGGACACGCCAAGGGTGACAGAGAGGTGCTGCCCCCCACCCCCAAACCCCCCCCATGTCCCCAGCCCGGCCTTGGGGACCCCGGGGGGTTCTCCCCGTGTCCCCTCCACGTCCCCCTGTCCCCACTCACAGTCGATGTAGTGCACATAGAACAGCTTCCTCCCGCTGATGTCCTTCACGCTCAGGATCTCGGCTAGCGCTGGGGCGAGCGGGGGGTCACCACCCGCTTCTGGGGACCCCCAAAATCCCCACAAGGACCCCCAAAACCCACCCAGGGACCCCCAAATTCCCCCCCAAGGATCTCTCCCTCCCCAACCTGGGCTGTGCCCCAACGCCCCCCCAATGACCCCTCATGCCCCCAAAACCCCTCGGGACCCCCCGACACCCCCGGGCCAGGCCCCGCCCCTCAACTCAAACCCCGCCCCTTTCCCCTCACCAGGCCCCGCCCCCGGCCGCTTTCCCGCCCTTTCCCTCCCCCCGCCCCCTCCGCGGCCCCTCCCCTCTCCCCTGATTGGCTCCCCCCGCCCCAAGCCACGCCCCACTCACGCCACTCATCCTCGTTGTCTTGGTTACGGCGCAGCACGGGCAGGCGGCAGCCCTCGGACACCTCCCCCTGCGGGGGCGGGGCCTCGTCAGGGCCGGGGGGGCCCCAAAACCCCCGCGGGGGGTTCGGGGGGTCCCCAAACCCTTCCGGAGGCTCCCGGAACCCCTCGGGAGGCTCCCCGAACCCCCTCCGCGCTGCCCCCCCCCGCCCGCTCCCCACCTCCGCCATTCTCCTCTCGGCCTTCGCTTCCGGCCGGCCCGACGCGCTTCCGGGACGCGGCCACGCCCCTTCCGCCTGGGCCCCGTCCCCTCTGTGACTCCGCCCCCTGGCGGCGGGGAGGTCAGACGGGGGGCGGGGCCTTCCCGGCAAAGCAGCGGTCACGTGGGGCTCGCGGCGCTTCCGCGAGCGGCGGCGCGAGCGGGGCCCCCCCCCTCTCCCCGCCCTTCCCGCGGCCCCCCCGCCCCCGGGAACCCCCCCGGGACCCTCACGGGACCCCCCGGGACCGCCGCCATGGAGGACGGTGAGTGCCGAACCCCCCCCGGGGCTGTTTGGGGGTGGGGGGGATCCCCCGGTGCTATTCCGCCCCGAGTGACGTCGGGGGGTCGCGGGGTGAGCGGAGGGTGAGGGCCCTTTAAGGGGGGCGTGTTTAAAGAGGGGGGGGCGTCTCCGTGCAGGGCTTGGGGGGTTTTGGGGGGAGACCCCTCCCTTAAAGAGACGATCCCCCCCAAAGTGACCCGTTTTTATTGTGACAGCCCCTTAAAGAGACACCCCTGTTAATGCGACCCCTCCCCTTATGTGACCCGCCTTATTGTGATGGTCTCTTTAAGGACCCTCCCTCTCTTAAACCGACCCCCCCCCATTAATGCGCCCCCATTGTCCCCCCCAGTGACCCCCCCGGATCTTCTGCCCTTCCTCCTGCAGGACTGGGGTGCTCAGGGTGAGTGGGGACACCCCGGGATGGGGGATCTGGGGGGTCCCCCGCGGGTCTGGGACCCCCCCCGGGGGTGGAGGGTGTGGAGGGGATGGGGGGGCGCTGACGGGACCCCCCCCGTGCCCCCCCAGAGGCGGGGGGGGCGGCGCCGTTCGTGGAGATCCTGGAGCAGCCGAAGCAGCGCGGGATGAGGTTCCGGTACGAGTGCGAGGGGAGATCGGCCGGGAGCATCCCCGGGGAGCACAGCACCGAGACCACCAAGACCCACCCCACCATCCGCGTGAGTGTCCCAGTATAAACCAGTATAGACCAGTGATCACCCGGGACCCTCCCTGAGCCCCCCCAGTGCCCCCATCCCCAGGGTGGGGTTCAGCACCCACCTCCCCCAGACCCATCCCAGCATCTCCATGATGCTCCCAGTCCAAACCAGTATAAGCCAGTGGCGTCCCCGCAGGTGAACAACTACCGGGGCCCGGGCCGGGTGCGGGTGTCGCTGGTGACCAAGGACCCCCCTCACCGCCCCCACCCCCACGAGCTGGTGGGCAAGGACTGCAAGGACGGATTCTACGAGGCCGAGCTGTGCCCCGAGCGCAGCATCCACAGGTGGGACCCCCAAAACTGGGGGGACAACCCCCCCCAAATGGGGACACCCTCACACCCTCCCAAAATCGGGGACACCCCCACAGGGCAGATGGGAGTACCCAGAACTGGGGAATCCCCCCCCCAAAAAGAGCAGGTGCGATCTCCCATAGTGTTTGGGATCTCCCTTTTATGGAGATGGTATCTCCCAAAATATCGGGGAACCCCCTCCAGGGCAGATGGGATCACCCAAAAAAGCGAGGGGGGGGACTCCCAAAATGTGGGACCCTCCCAGGACTCCTGGGAACCCCCAAAATTTGAGGTCCCTGTCCCGGAGTGTCTGGGGTGGGTCCTAAAATCCAGGTTGACCCATGACCCCCAAATTTTGGGGTCAGTTTCCAGAATCTGGGGATTCAGTGCGTGAAGAAGCGAGAGCTGGAGGCAGCCGTGGCCGAGCGGATCCGCACCAATAACAACCCCTTCAACGGTACTGGGAGCACTGGGAGGGACTGGGAGAGCACTGGGGGTGGTCCTGGGGCTTCTGGGAATGTCACTGGTGCATACTGGGCTATACTGGTCTGTACTGGGCACATCCAGGGGAGCAGCATGGGGGTGCGTACGACCTTGGCGTGTCACTGGGGGGGGGGTCCTGAGGGGTCACTGCTTTATACTGGTTTATACTGGTTTATATGGATCCATGTTGGTTTATACTGGTTTGTACTGGTCTGTACTGGGCAGTGCCGCCGGAGCAGCGTGGGGGCGAGTACGACCTGGCCGCGGTCAGGCTCTGCTTCCAGGTGTGGGTGAGGGGCCCAGGGGGGCTGCGGCCCCTCCCCCCCGTCCTGTCCCAGCCCATCTACGACAACCGTGAGTGGGGACACCTGAGATACCTGGGTGACACCTGGGTGACCCCCTATGACCCCTTGGTGATACCTGTGTGACACCTCTGACCCCCAGTGTCCCCCCATATCATGACCCCTGTGTCCCCTCTAATGATCCCAGTGTCCCCATACCCCCCTGTCCCCGCTGTCCCTCACTGTCCCCTCTGTCCCCAGGCGCCCCCAGCACGGCCGAGCTGCGGATCTGCCGCGTCAATCGCAACTCCGGGAGCTGCCGGGGCGGGGACGAGATCTTCCTGCTGTGTGACAAGGTCCAGAAAGGTGCGAGGCCGCCCCAAAATGGGGACACCCCAAAAACGGAGACCCCAAAACCTGGCACACCCCAAAACCGGGACATCCCAAACCTCAGCATCCCCCCAAACCCTTGGGTCCCTCGGGATTTCTGTCTCGCCCCATTCCATACATCCCGATCCCCGTATCCCCCATCCCCTGTATCTCAAACCCCACAACCCCAGTTCCCAAATCCCATTCCTCCAATCCCCCGTATCCTGTTATCTGTCCCCTCAGAGGACATCGAGGTGCGTTTCTGGGCCGAGGGCTGGGAGGCCAAGGGCTTGTTCGCGCAGGCCGACGTTCACCGCCAGGTCGCCATCGTGTTCCGCACGCCGCCCTTCCGGGACCCCGCCCTGCGCGCCCCGGTCACCGTGCGCATGGAGCTGCAGCGGCCCTCGGACCGCCAGCGCAGCGCCCCGGTGGACTTCCGCTACCTGCCCCACCAGGGTGGGCCTGGGGAGGGGCTACCGGGGGGCTACCAGCACTTAGAGGGTCCTTAATGGGGTTTTGGGGGTGATCCAGGACACTCCCGGGTCCGTGGAGGTGCAGCTCCCATTGATTTCTTGTTCCTGCCCCACCAGGGTGGGCCTGGGGAGGGGCTATGGGGGCTACCAGGGACTGTTGAGGGCCTACAGGCGCTTACAGGGTCCTTAGTGGGGTGTTGGGGGTGATCCAGTGTCACTCTGGGGTGCTCCCAGGTCCCGCTTTGGTTGGTTTTGGGTCCTTATTGTCATCCTGGGACACTGTGGGGTGTCCTGGCGTCACTGGGAGGGACTGGGGGTCACTGGACATTACTGGGAATAAGTGGGTGTTAACTGGATGGTCACAGCTGTGTCTGGGGGGTGACTGGGAGGGACTGGGACGGTCGCTGTGCGTCACTGGCCGGGAACTGGGGATAACTGGTTGTGACTGGGAGGTCACTGGGAGCTGACTGGGAGCTGACTGGTGTTCCTGGTGCTCCTGGTGCAGGGGACCTGCAGTGCATCGAGGAGAAGCGCAAGAGAACGCGGGAAACGTTCCGGTCCTTCGTGCAGCGCAGCCCCCTGCCCGGTGGGGACTGAGGGAGGGGGGCCCGGGGGGTTTGAGGGGTCCTGAGGGGGAAGTTGAGGGTCCCTGGGGGATCTGAGTGCATAGTGGGGTGCTTGAGGGGCTCTAGAGGGGGGATTTGGGAGGGTTTGGGGTCCCTGCAGGGGTTTAGAGGAGGAACTGGGGGTCCTGGGGGGGGCTATTGGGGTCCTTCGGGGGGGTTCTCTGAGAAGGTTTTGGGGTCCTGGAGGGGTCCAGAGGGGGAAATGGAGGTCCTGGGGGGGGCGATTTTGGGTTTTGGGGTCCTGGGGGGGTCCAGAGGGGATTTGGGGTCCCTAGGGAGGGTCCTTGACAGTGAGACCCCCCCGTTTTCTCCCCCCAGCTCCGGCGTCCAGCGAGGCGCGGCCCCCCCGGCGCATCGCGGTGCCCTCGAGACCCCCCCCGGCCCCCCAGAACCCCCCCAGTGTGGGTGAGAACTGGGGGAACTGGGAGGAACTGGGG